CTGCTTCCCACATCCGCTAGGTTCGTAAAGCCCACGGACGTCGCCGCCATGGCCCTGTCCAGTGCCCCTTGTCAGGGCGAAAGTGAAACTGCTTCGTGAAACCGTCCATGGTGCCTGTGACAGTTTCACTGTCACTCTGCTCAAACTTGCGCGGGAATGCACCTAGACATGGACGATGCACGAAAGGATAGTGGGCAATGCCTTCAGGCGGCGTTGCCAAGCGCTATCACGTTATCGCACGCGCGCTCGGTCCCGGCTTTCCGTCATACAGTGTGACCAGGCAAACTGGCGGCCTGGTCACATTGGAACGTCGCCGTACACGGGTTGCGACTGGTTTGTGCCGCATTGAAGCAAGACATTTCAAATACTCGAGCTCCAAGTAAACGGCGTGCCGACTGTTTTATCTTATCCCTGACTGCCCACGGCAGGTCCATCGAGGCTTGTGCTACCATACGGTGCTTTCGCGACACAGTTGGGGCCATGCGTTCATTTGGTACTCCAAGTGGAACGAATCATGAATCCCTCCTTGAGTTGGCTGCAACCCATCTCAAACAGACTCGGGTCTGCGGGGTGACGGCCCTCCAGTCCAGCTCTACCGATCGCCACAAAGCGCCGTATGCACCTTGTGGTGTGGAGTGTACACGAAGGTCGTGCCAGGGTCCATTCCAACGTTGTAATACGTAAGCGCTCGCCGCACACCACGTTCCACTAGGGTCGAGCCAGGCCGCGCTGGTCGCAACGTCTGCGGCAGGACCCTAGACGGGCTGTCTGGGTGTCGTTGCGAGTTCTCACGTGTTCCAGCCCAACGTGTCAAAGATCTCTCGACGTCAATTGCATATTTTGAGCATTTGTCAAACGCAACATCGCTCAAATATATTGTCATCGTGTCGTTGGACATGCCAAAGATTCATGCGACGAAGCGCCATTCCAGGAAGAAGAAATAATATGAGCACCATCGACGAAATTGGCTCGTTATTTTGACGACATCGGACGCGCTTTGCCTCAAGAACAGCCTTGAACAAGTTGATGTGTCAAACACGGCGGTGGATTCGTCAAAGGCGCGAGGGACTTCGACACAAGGTCTGAACATGTTCATGTTCAGACGCGTGCGTGGGCCAGATAGCTGCACGTGACAGGGCTTTCCTATGGGAGGCATCGACATGAACCAGGTGCGGAGGCCATGGGGCGTTCGATCGTGCGATATTCTGGCGACAACGGCGGTCCAAATGACAACTTGTGGCTGGACCTTTCAGCCGTGATGCCCCACGATTCACAACTTGTGTGCAGTACGAATGCTCGGACCCCGTCCATCCCGCTTACATTTCAATTTCGCATCGTGCACAAACATGCACTGGCGGCGATTGATCGTGCTGTTGGCAGTCGCCACATCGGCCACCGCGTATGTCAAGTGCCCCCCCGGCCAATTTCCCGGGGGAAGCACCTCCACCCCGTGCATCATGGCCCCTGCAGGCAAGTTTGCCGTGGGGGGACTCCCTTCTCCTGTGGACTGTCCGGCCGGCACTGCGTCGCCCAACCCTGGAGCAACTGGCCCGAGTGCATGTGTGCCTTGTCCGAGTGGAACGTTTTCGTTGTCGGGCGCTGCCACGTGCACTTCGTGTGCTATTGGGACGTACAGCTTTGGAGGGCAGGCTGTGTGCACCGAATGCCCGGCAGGCACGTCGTCAAGCACAGCGGGCGGGACGTCGTCAGCCGTGTGCGTACTGTGCAAGGCTGGTTCTTTTTCACCGGCGGCAGCTTCCCCATGCAAAGTGTGTCCTGCCGGCACATTTGCAATCGAAGGCCAGCCGACGTGTACCGAATGCCCTGCTGGCACGTCTTCCAGTATCACCGGTGCAACGTCGATGGCAGCGTGTACGCCGTGTCGCGGCGGCACGTACTCGTTCACGGGAGCGTCCACTTGTACGCAATGTGGGCCAGGGACGTTTTCGACTGCCGGACAATCCACGTGCACGAGCTGCCCCGGCGGCACGTACTCGAAGACTGCAGGGTCAGATGCGTTTAGCTCGTGTTTGCCTTGTTCTCCTGGATCGTTTTCATCCTCGGGGTCCGCGGCGTGTACCCAGTGCAGAGCGGGGACGTACTCGACGGGAAGCCAGCGCATGTGCACGGACTGTCCTGCCGGCACGTCTTCGGCTGTCGTGGGGGCCACCAAGCGAGTACAACGCTTGCGAGTTTTTTCCCGGTTCACTGTAGACGGGCTGTCTGGGTGTCGTTGCGAGTTCTCACGTGTTCCAGCCCAAAGCGTCAATAATCTCTCGACTTCGCCTGCATATTTTGAGCATTTGCCAAACGCAAATTCATGTAACGAGGCGCCATTCCAGGAAGAAGAAGAAATAATATGAGCACCAATGACGAAATTGGCTCGTTATTTTGACGACATCGGACGCTCTTTGCCTCAAGAACAGCCTTGAACAAGTTGATGCGTCAAACACGGCGGTGGATTCGTCAAAGGCGCGAGGGACTTCGACACAACATCTGAACATGTTCATGTTCAGACGCGTGCGTGGGCCAGATAGCTGCACGTGACAGGGCTTTCCTATGGGAGGCATCGACATGAACCAGGTGCGGAGGCCATGGGGCGTTCGATCGTGAGATATTCTGGCGACAACGGCGGCTCAAATGACAACTTGTGGCTGGACTTTTCAGCCGTGATGCCCCACGAGTCACAACTTGTGTAGTACGAATGCTCGGACCCCGTCCACCCCGCTTACTTTTCAATTTCGCATCGTGCACAAACATGCACTGGCGGCGATCGATCGTGCTGTTGGCCGTCGCCTCATCGGCCACCGCGTATGTCAAGTGCCCCCCCGGCCAATTTCCCGGGGGAAGCACCTCCACCCCGTGCATCATGGCCCCTGCCGGCAAGTTTGCCGTGGGGGGACTCCCTTCTCCTGTGGACTGTCCGGCCGGCACTGCGTCGCCCAACCCTGGAGCAACTGGCCCGAGTGCTTGTGTCCCTTGTCCGAGTGGAACGTTTTCGTTTTCGGGCGCTGCCACGTGCACTTCGTGTGCTATTGGGACGTACAGCTTTGGAGGGCAGGCTGTGTGCACCGAATGCCCGGCAGGCACGTCGTCAAGCACAGCGGGCGGGACCTCGTCAGCCGTGTGCGTACTGTGCAAGGCTGGTTCTTTTTCACCGGCGGCAGCTTCCCCATGCAAAGTGTGTCCTGCCGGCACATTTGCAATCGAAGGCCAGCCGACGTGTACCGAATGCCCTGCTGGCACGTCTTCCAGTATCACCGGTGCAACGTCGATGGCAGCGTGTACGCCGTGTCGCGGCGGCACGTACTCGTTCACGGGAGCTTCCACTTGTACGCAATGTGGGCCAGGGACGTTTTCGACTGCCGGACAATCCACGTGCACGAGCTGCCCCGGCGGCACGTACTCGAAGACTGCAGGGGCAGATGCGTTTAGCTCGTGTTTGCCTTGTTCTCCTGGATCGTTTTCATCCTCGGGGTCCGCGGCGTGTACCCAGTGCAGAGCGGGGACGTACTCGACGGGAAGCCAGCGCATGTGCACGGACTGTCCTGCCGGCACGTCGTCGGCTGTCGTTGGGGCCACCAACCTGACAGCGTGCACTTATTGTCCTCCAGGCTCGTACTCCACGACAGGCGCTGCTACATGCACGGCGTGTTCGGCTGGCACGTATTCGACCGGGGGTGCGCGCAATTTTTGTCAAGATTGCCCTGCGGGGACCTTTTCCAGTGCCCTCAAGGCTACAAGCTTGGCGACGTGCCAGACATGTGCCAGCGGCACGTACTCGTCGAAAGCGGCGACGGCATGCACGCTGTGCCGCAACGGTCAAATTTCTGGACCTGGCCAAGTCATGTGCTTTGATCCGTAGGAATGTGGTTGGCCTGGCATGTTGTCCAACTGATAACAGCAAACGTTATTGATTGAATTCCGTTTCGAGGAATCGCCCTTGAGACCACCGGATCGGGGCTACGTACGGCACACGCATTAGAACCAAGGCATCAGGACTCCTTGCAGAGGCAACGCCTCGGAAACGAGTCGAATTCACTTTGGCAAGGGAAGGGAAGTCTCGGGGGTGGGGGCCGTGGCTTGTGTCTTCGAGGATGCGCATCCCTCCATACAAGATTGTTCGCAGGCGACCACTCTTGCGTCCGCCCAGTCAGTAGGGCGCAAGGCGCGCACATGGCGATGCACGTCCCCCCACGTCAATATTCGCCCCAATCCTGCCCGAATCCGTGCGACGTTGCACACTCGGCAGGGTTCCGATTCTAGTTCTGAGCTTGGATTGTTGTTGGCCCATGCCACTTGTTTTGTCAACTGCTTTGTCAACACGAACGGCACCGACCCCCGTCGCTGTTTCGTCCTTGCATACGACTGTCCGAAGCAGCCCCCCCACCCCACGCTCACCTTTGCGGATCTACCGGAACATGCAACACGTATTTCAACGACTGCCCGACTTACAGGAGGAGGGGGGAAGGCAACCTCGCTGCGTCAACACCCCCCTATTCCATCCCCTCTCAACACACACGAAGAATGGATGCGACAATTCGTTTCCGTCGCCCCATACAAACCAAATACATGCAGGCAATATTGACGTGGTGGGGGGAAGTCGTCGACATACGCAGGGTGCAGGGCGATTTCGAACGTGCGTCGTGGCCGTCCTTTCGCGAGTTGACACGTCTCAGTCGCAATGTGTTGGAGCATTTCGTGAGGTCGCTCACATCCGAGCTACCACGGAGCCAATCCAGTCCTTGATCGCTTCGAAAGGTCACAACCGATCCAGGGCGTTTTATGACGAACGCATGGCGTCCCATGGGCCTCGTGATCGCCCGGACGGCCGCGGCGCGGCCATAAGAATTCGCTGCTGACTTCGTGTGGTTCCATCAGCCATGCATAGTGGGACTCCCATGCGACCCCGAACACGGCAATGTGGTGAACGCGGCATTTGACGCAGGCGAGTGGACGTGTGGACGTCTCGTACATTCGCTTCTTCTTGTTCAATAAATGGGAAACCAGAATGTACGTACCTCCAATGTACGACGCTCTTGTACCGCGCCGTTCGATTTAGCTTGATTAAAGTAAGTGGAGTTGGATCCATTCAATGGCACGTTCGGGTCGAAAAAGTAAAGGTGGATATCGCGTCGTCCAACGCTCGTGCTGCTGGCAGCGCGGCGTGGTCAACATCGGGTCGATCACTTTTGAAATTGCCGGGCCGTTCAGCCTCCATGATGAAGCACGAGCACCATCCGCACATGATGCTGCGGATGCCAGGAGCGACAACGAACGCTACGTCTGTCCCTGCCGTGACATGCCACATGCACCAAATGCATCTGACGATGCATCCAATGCAGTCGCTCTTGCGCAACGTCGCGCCCATGGCAGCGACCACCACCAACACAACGTCCACGTCGCAGCGCGTGGCGGCAAATGGCATGCAGCGGGCCAAACCCGCGCCGTCGCCACCCAAAAGCGCCAAGGACACAACCAAAAAGGTCAAAGTATCCCGTGAACGCCAGCTCAAAATCAACGCCGCGAGCCGCAAGTGCAGGAGAAAACAAAAGGTCGAGCTCCAGTTCCTCCGGTCCCATGTCGTCGACCTGCGAAAGTGCATGCGGGACCACACCAAGACGTGCCCTCACATGGATACGTCCCTTCTTGACCAGACCGAACACCTGATGGAAGAGTTGACGAGTGTCACACGAGTGCCGAAGGACGACAGCTCGTCCGACGACGACAGCTCTCACGCGAACGGGAGCTCGTCCTCTCTCGCGATTCCCACGACCGAGTCATCGTCGGCAGTGCCAGTCACGGTGAACGCCGGCAATACGCAGTCCACCACCCCGTCGTCGCCCGTCGTGATCGACGGCAAGAGCAAGGACGAGCTGCTCACGATCGGAGGGTTCCTGCGCGTGAACCTCAACTTGGAAAGCAAGTCGTTCAGCCCGGACTCGATTTCGTCGCTGCCGATTCAAATGGACGGGTGGCGCATTCGCCTGAGCATCACGGACCGCAACTACGCCTTCCACAATCAAAAGTTCTTTCCAGCATGCATTGCGCAAGACTTGTTTGACTTTTGCTGGGAAACATCGCTGAATGAAACGCAACCGTGCTTGAACCCGTCCGAGTTTTTCAAGGTGACGCGGCTCCACGACGACATGGCGTACGTGTCGAGCCGGACGATCGGCCAGTGGAGCCTCATGGTCCACGGCGTCCCCACCGTGAGCTACAACAGCATCTTGGCCCGGATGCAGGACGGCCAGCGCCTCCTTGTGTGCCAGCAGAGCGTGCTCGGTCCCAACGACTTCGCCGACCCCGCAACCGAACCATGGCTGTTCAAAAAGTGGGTCGTGTTCACCCCGTTTGTATTGAATGGCGTCGCCGGGACGTCGGTCGAGTCGTACCGGTGTGCGAGCTACGCCTCTGGCCGGCGGCTCTACTCGGAGACCAACACGTACGACAGCTTTTGCGAACACATCATCCGGCGATATGCCGAGTCGAATGTGGTGCTGGATCGCATGATGGCGGCCGATGGCCGGTTTGCCCACATCCCGTGGAATGAGCACAACTTGTTTCTGTTTGAAACGATGGGCGAGCGCATGGTGAAGGACTTTTTGCTGTTCTAGGCAGACGCAGTGGCGCAAGTAGGGTAGGAGTTTGAGTGCGGCTCGATATTGGCCGCAGTGTAATTGGTGTCAATGTTAGTGTAGTGTGTGATGTGCAGTTTCTCGTGTGTGCGGCACTAGCCTCGGGACGGCTGTGCAAAGAGCGGATGGCAACCTCGACAGCCACGTGCCAGTAAGAGATGCTCCAAGAAGAACGTGTTGAAAGCTGCTGCATACGGCAGAATCGGCTCTGGACATCGTGGATAATTAGCGAAGGTGTAGATGCACGACAACGGTAGCGACAAAGTGCACAGGACGAGGTCACGACTAGAGTCAATTGGGCAAATCCTGAAGAGGTGTTAGAGAGGGACTGGGAGGAGGGGGGCGAGATTCCAACGCGGACCGTCCTGATATCGAATGGATACATGGTCGACCTCAACCGATTCCTCGTTGTGTCGAAGATCTTTTTTCTCTGCTGGACAGGAAATGCGCCGACGCCACATGTTCCCGTGTGTACTCCTTGAGGAAGCGTTCTCAACGTACCTGGTGTGGATTTTACTGCCACTGGGTGCGTCGTGGCTTGGCGTGTATGCGACATTTGGTGGGCAATCTTGGACCTTCCTGGCTCCTCGCCAGCGCAAGGGTGACTCGAAGGCTCATCGTTCTCTTTGCTGTACAACTTACCCACAAGATCCAACCGAGTGGGCTTACCCAGCATGAGTTACAGCCAGCTTCCTCTTGGAGCGGAAGGCACGGCGAGGCCGGCAAATTCACCGGTTGCCGCACCTGCGACGAGTAGTATCCGGATTTCGGATAATGCATATCACATGCGCGAAAGAGGTCGCTGGCATCAGAGTACCTGCTATGCCCACCATGTGCGCCACCAGGCGGCGATGTTAGACCGCGACTGAACTGAGCTCTCTTTGCAGATCTGGCACCGCCTTCTTCATCCTTGTGGGATCTTCCTTTGGCCTTCTCCTTGGGTCCGCTGTCGCCCTTTGGCTGTATGTGCCTTTTGGCTGGATCGTGCTCTCCTCGGTACGTCGCCATGACCTCTTCGTTCATTCACAATTCATGTGGCGGTGTTGTGCTGCTCAATAGTATGTAGTATGGGCGGTATTCCTAGACCAGGCGCCGTACAATGGCCGCGGCCGCATCTTTCTCTTCCTTCGGTTCAATTGGTACGTGCTACACTACGTGCAGGTCGTCCTCTCACCGCATTTTGTGCTCTGACCAGGCTCTGGCAATTTGCAGTACGTCCATGTATTGTGGCTGCGACTCATTGATCGGCACTCGATGTAGAAAGGGTACTTTGCCCACACCTTACGGCAGGTATCGCTGGTGTTTAGCGCCTCGCTGCCTTCAAACCAAGTTTGTTGCTGCAGGAGTCCGAGCTCGATCCTTCGCAGAAGCACCTCTTCGTCGCCCATCCCCACGGTTAGCTCTCTCTTTCGACTTCTTTCCTTTCGTCCTGACATGGGTGGTGCGTTTGCAGGCGTGATAGCCCTCGGAACTTGGCTTGTCTTTGTGCGTCCTCTCACCCGTATAGCCAAGCATCTTCGTCAGAGCGATGGGGCGACATCGTGGCGTCGCCTTCATCACACTGACCCCGCGAATTTTAGGGCGGCGATTCCATTTACTTTTTGCGCAAGAATCCAAACTTGCAGCTCAGTACTGCCACCGTACGTCGCCGTGGGCCGGGGTGGGTTTGTTTCACTGGCATCGTGTAGGTGGGGTTGAATTTTCTCCTTCCGTTCTGGCGAGATCTCTTGCTCGCGCTGGGTTTCGTTGGTACCGAGAGCTAGGTCGGGGCGCATCTTCTCACGTTGGCCTTGGTGGGGTATCTAGACGCGAGCTACGCGTCGTTGAAAGCTGTGCTGGCGCAAAACCGCAGCGTGTGCCTGCTGGTGGGAGGTAGCCAGGAAGCGCTGGAAGCTCATCCAAACACGAACCGACTTGTGCTCGACAAGCGCAGGGGATTCATCAAGCTCGCGCTCGAAACCGGCGCTAAAGTTGTCCCTGTCTACACGTTTGGCGAGACCAACATGTACACTCAAGTACGTTGCACGGCCGCTTTGTTTCCTACCGTGTGTGGTTGCAGATGGCAAACCCGCCGGGGTCGTGGCTTCGCTCGATTCAGGACGCTCTCGTCAAATCTCTAACGATTGCCACGCCGATCCTGACAAGCGGCCCTTTACCCAAGAGCACGCCGCTGCTCACGGTCGTGGGGCCCGCCCTGGACTTCCCCCACATATCTGCCCCATCGCCCGGCGACATTGCCAAGTACCATGCAACGTACAAGGTGGCGCTCCAAGCCCTCTTTGACAAGCACAAGCACGACTATTACACCCCCGACGAACTCAAATCGGCCGACCTCGTCATATTTGCCTGAGCGACGTCGATGCTGCCATAAGAGAGACGATCGTCATCCATGCATGCGATCGGTAGGTCCGCAACAAGGGCGAGCCTGTCTCTTCCTGTGAGTGTACAAAACAACGCCCGGTGCGGCGCCGACTGCCGCCAGCGGTTGCCGTGGAATGCTGCGCGCTCGACGTCGTCGTGTGGAGCGGTGGGCGACCAGCTTGAGGAACGTCCTTTATTTGGATCGCACACGAGCCTCTCGATGGCATCGCGTCGATACAACTCGCACGTGGGTTTTGTCCATTCTGGTCGGCGATGCCACAACGAATCTCATGTTTACATGCACTACGACGACACCACTGCAGGGGAACGTGCTACCTCGGTCGATGCGCGACGATGCGGGACACGACTAAATTCCCCCACAAGTTGACGACGGTCGAGAGCGGATCGATGATGCACTCGGCTACCACCATGACACTCAACGAGAACGGCACGATGTTGAGGCCCGTGAGCTGGCGAAAGACACACAGCACCACAGCGAGACCGCCCGTCCGCACAGGCGCCACGGCCAGCGACGCGACCAGCGCGCACGCACACATGAGGCCAAACTTGAGTGTGGTGAGGTCGGCGCTGAGGCCGGCGTTTCGAATCGTCCACACGAGCGCCATCACAATGTACGCGGCGCCGCCGTTCTTGTTGATGCCGGTCCCGATCGACCCCGTGAACCGCGCAATGTTGCGGTCGCATGCGTTGGTGCCGTCCATGAGTCGGATCGCTACCGGGAGGCTCGTGCTGGACGAACTACAACTAATGCCGTACGCGAGCGCGTCCTTGACGAGAAACAAATACTTGTACGGATTCGTTCCCGTAAAGCAAAAGAGAATCGCGGGGAGGACGACGAGCATGTGGACGGCGCACAGCGCGGTGAATGCCAGCACAAAAAACCCGAGCCGGGGAAAGTCGTCTTGCGCCGTCTGCGTCCCCGTTAGGAACGGGCCGGCAAAGAGAGGGATGATCGCGACGGGAGTGCACGTGACCACGTACGACAGCATCGTTTTGAAAATCGCGTGGAGCTCGCGCATGAGCTGGATCGGCTCGACGTACACAACATGGCCATTCGCGAATGCAGCGGCTTGACCAAATGCGATCGCAAACACCACAAGGCCCACGACATTGTTCGACAGCACGATGTCCATCATGTTGATCGGCGCCAGGTTCGAGATCGTGTTGATAATCTCGTCCGCCATGGACGAGAATTGAAATCGCTCGGCGCGCTTGAATACATACGTGCCGCCGGACACGCTTGTCATGAGAAAGAGCCGCGAGTCGAACGTTGACCCGTTCACCGACCCGGCCCACGTCCGCTCGCACCGGAGCTCGTTTGTCGCGTTGTCCAAAACGAGGACGTTCGTGCGCTGGCCGTCGGGATTCGTCAAGTTTGGGCACCGCCACAGGACCATGGGCGTATTGTTGTTGAGGCCCCAGTAATTGAACGCGTTGTTGCTGTCGATGCGCGGCCCGAGCAGCCACGCAGCGACGAACGCCTGCGCGATCGCGAGCAGCGTCGTGAGCAACGTGAGCCCCACGATCTTCCACCGGATTTTGAACATGCGCTTGGACGTCATCATGTCGGCGACGCTGAGCGCGACCGTCAAAAACGCAAGCGGCAGCGTCATCAACGTTAGCGCGCGAAAGTAGAGCGCGCCGACCGTGTGAACCGCATCGCCGACTTCGTACATCGTTCTCGAGCTCAACGCTTTCACAAACGGCAAGGCGCGAACACCTTCGACACAGCACAGACCGAGAAGTGTCCCGACGAGGGTGCCTGGCGCGCCCATGTACCAGTTGACCCACCTGCTCGACTTTGACGTGGGCTGCGCCGTGGTGTCGGCGTCCGTGATGTGGACATGCATCGGGCGATGCAACTGCGGGTCGGCATGGATCGACCCGTCAAACTCATCGAGGGACTCGCCGCTTCCTGCCTCTGAGTACGGCATGTGCAAGTCGTGCGACGGACAGAGTGGATTTCGTACTGTCGAGCGCGACGCGTCGTTGACTTCGGCGCCACTGCGTGCGAACCAGATGCGACCTTCTGAGCGGAAAATGGATTGCAAACGTGGTCCCGTCGCGTTGTCGCTAGTTCTGCGTACCTACTAAGGTCGAGCGACTTTAGACGCGCGGGTCGCCTCAGGAGTTGCCGCCACCTGCCGCGCTTCTCGCTCCATGCACGCACAAAACGGTGTCGGATGTTGCTGCTGTCACGAGCGGTCCGCTACCAGAGCAAGTTACCGAGCAACGGACACGGTGTGGATTCGAAGCCTCGCTGTAAGCGGTGGAGGCTCCATGCAGCGTCCATTTGCCTCCGACGAATCTGCGTGCCGTGGGTGCACACGTAGGTGGAGGCACTGCTGCGTAGAGCCGCCGTTGGCCTTGATTGATGGGGTCGCAGACAGGCTGCGGGACATTGCCCATTAAAGAACACTTTCAGATCTGGGTGGGTGCTTTTCTTGATGGATCATGTCGACGTGGGGGCGAATCCACCACTTCCTGCGTCGAGTTATTTCGGGTGGCGGCGGTTGACTCGACGCATAGCGTCGATAGAGGCACTGGCGGATCCGATGGAAAGCTGGTCGATGGCCCCCGTTGGCCGCTACCTCACCGCAGCCGTGCCCACCCCATGTCCTGGCGGCAGTGCCCGTCCAGCGTGGGACGTCTTTGTTGCATGTCCCACGGATCGGCACGACCACCGTATGTAGGATATCCTGGCAAGCATTTCGCTGGCCTTGGAAAGTGTACATGTCGCGGCGAAAAGATTCGCGCCGCTCGACTGCACAACAAAGCTCGCCTTGCCGTGCCTTTGGATGTGCCCGGAGAACTAATATACCGTCGTCGCGTTTGGGTTTCCAATATGCAATTCCTCGGGGGACGAACGGTGTGTGGACTGGTGGTCGTCGCCCAATTCGTCACGGCTATGGAACGTCCCCGAGCGCACGGTCAAACTCCCGCTCGATGTGCATGGCCATTTGCAGAGATGCAACACCGACGGATGTCCCGTTGGGTTGGTAAGTCTGGAGTCGTAGACAGGTTGGAAGTGCACTCGACTCCAACAGCATCGCCAGTTGTCAGCGACGCCTCTTGTGCAGCGCCAGCTGGGTCTGAGGCGGTGGGACGAGTGTTGTACCTGCGCGTCAGTGCCTGTCTCTAGTCAACGCAAAGTGGTCCTCAAACACTTACATGACCTTTCGGGTAGAACCCCCCCCCAGAGAGTCGAAGTATTATAGAGCATTGCATGTTCACAGGAAACCACTTTGACATGCAATAGATTCCAGATGAACTTTGACGGTCGAAGATATCGAAACTTGGAAACCACATTGCTTTCTGGTTTGGCCCCATTGACGTTGCTGGCTTTTTTGTTATATTTGCTGTTTAATTATATTTAAAGGCCAAATGTAGTTACGAATTCGTCTGAAGTTAGAAGTACAATTTTGAACTACTAGTATTGAAAACATCAAACGAGATTCCGGAAGGTCGTTTTTTACAAGAACATTCTCTTGTCGTATTACTGAAAAAAATACAATTTAAACCCATCCAACAAACATTTGTATAAATTTATCTCTGTTTATCTGCGATCGGATGTGGCCAACCTGTAAATTCGAATACGATCGAACATGTATTGACAAAGGTTTGCTTTTGGTGGGCGCCCCAAACGCACGCGACTGTACGCAAGCCCGCAGTGCATTGAATGAGAGATGTGCAGGAGGGGCCAATATCATGTACATTCCACGTGTCATGAAAAACGAGAACGTGTCGTCCAAAGTGGACTTTGGGACACAGGCTGGACGATGATAGAAAAAGTACACAATTTATGTCGACGGCATGTGCATGTTTTTTTTCGAAAGTCAAAGTCATTCCGAGATGAAGCGCAAACTGCAGCTATCTGTCATTGCTTCGATAGATGAATTGGATGCTGTGCGAGGAAGGCAAAAGTTGATGCGCATTGAACCAAGAGGACGACGCTGTGAATAAAGATGCTCCTCTTACTTTGAAATCTGTGCGTGAATTCGTTCGTCGCGCGATCTGCGCATCTTGTGCATTCACAGAGACACACAAGACGTCCAGTTGTGCCATCATTTCTCCCTTGAACTGTGTTACATGAGTTGAAAAACACGTTCGTTTCACACTCGACACGGACAATGCTCGTTCCATGACATGACCACACGTTTATCCTTGTCAAGGTTAGTAGGGGGTAAATGTGCTCCCGAACACGGCGAATCTGAAGCTGGGGGTCGAGCCAGAAGGGAGCCACCGCCGACGACATCAAGGCAAATCGGCTTCGTCTGCCCTACATGCCTCCACAGCACTGGAATGTCGTGCAGGTCGATACACCATGAAATGCACTTCGATTCAATTTTTTTATACATGGTCAGCTGCCACGTCGACCCCTTGTAATCCATCGAATGGTTAGCTGTGCTTTTCGTCTGTGCCGTAGAACTGGTCGTAAATGCGATCCTTCCACGCGACAACGTCTTCGAACCCAGTTGTGATGTTGCGCTTCAGCATCAAGTCCTTTCGTTTGCCGTGGATGGTGCTGTGGGGGCCAGGCGCAATGTGGTCGATCGCAACTGCCATCGCCAAGTCTGCGTACGTAAACTCGTCCCCCACGAGGTACCGCTGCGTGGACAAAATCGATTGCATCAAGGCCAGTGTCTCTCGAATGTGGTCGATGCTCGTGGCTGCCGATTCAACCGCGTACTTCCTCGTGAAGACACCGACGCCGATCGTTGCAAACCAACGCGCCAGCGTCGGCATGTGCTTTCGAAGGAAAGGCGGTGCATACTCCATCGTCAAGTCCGAGTTTGCCCGAACATCAGACATGAGCTGACCGCGAACGTACGCCAGCATGCGTTGGTACCGTGCGTCCCAGGCGTTGACACTGTTGGCGTCGTGAAAGAAATGTTGGTGGATCTCGCTTAACGTGTGCGCGTAGGTTGCGATCTCAAGCGTGCTTCGAAGCGCCACATGTTGCTTCGTCGCGGCGTTGCGGACCAACAGAATGGGAACAGTGACTTTCTTGACGTCGCGCGGGCGGCTCGTGTACCGCCACAAGCGAAGGCGCAAGCCGAGCTCGCCCACGACGGGTTCGTACGGAGTGACTGTAAATGGCACGCCGCAATGGCGTAGTGCCCATCGAGCCGTGAGCGAATACGGCGACATTTTTAAGGAGATGAGCTCGTGCTCGGGCTGAGCTGACGAGTCTTGCCGGCGGTCGGCCATCGCGCAAATCTGGAATTACTCCTCGATCGATCGAAAGGTTGTCATCAACATTCCTAAAAAATACATTCATTCCATAAGATTACGTGTGGCGTAAAGTGCCTCGCAAACGTATGACAGTGCTCCAAGTAGAGGCGAGTTGTCGCTGGCGACGCCTTTGGCAAGCGCCGCCGATGAACAGGACCGTGAGAAGCAAGTGCCAAGCATGCAAGCGACCAGGGGGGATTGGTGGAAGGGCGGTGGCGAGGTGGAAGCCTGCTCTGGGAGCTGGGACTCGTGGTGGAGCTCCCAACACGGTCCGAATACATGGAATCGAAGCGGTTCAAATCGACAGCCGCCCTGCTTGTTTGAACGGAGGAGGTATTACAGAGTAAGCAACAGTAGGAGTACGACCACGGCTGACACGAACGCATGAGCGAGAACGCTGTTCGTCGATGTAGGTGTCCTCGTCAATGGAGGTTGGGTCATTTGTTGAACGGGAGGAAGAGGAGGCGAGTCGGGGCCCCACACGTCGACGTCAGAGCCAAAGATCGCATTGGCGCGGTCTGCGTTGAGGACCTTCTTGAAGTCCAGCGTTTGGACTTTGTCGACGCACGTTGTGTCGAGGCCGTGCAACTTGCCTCGATTTCGCATGTACTGGTAAAAAATGGCATTCGCGCAGTCGACGTTGGGCTACACACGTGGCCATGGTGACGATGCCAAAGCTCCACGAGAGTACCTGGTCCACCAACGGCGTCGTGCTGAGGGTGCCATGGCCCCCAAACGGGAATTGCAACAACACTTTGTCTGTGCCTTTCATGTTGGTGAACTGGTCTTGTGCATACTTGGGTGGCGTGGCAGGGTCCATGAGGCCACTGAGCAGCATCGCGGACGCGCCCGGTGGAATCGACGCCGTTTTGTTCCAGTATGCGTCGCGGGGATACACAAAGCCGCCGCCGCTGTACACGGGGTAGCCCTGGCAGACAGCGTCGCTGTTCTGGACGTACACGCAGTACTCTTGAAACGTGTCATGGAGACCGTTGGCGTTCTTGGATCCGAAGAGCGCGTTCTTCGTGTCGTTCGCCATCGCGTCCATCGTTGGCGACGGCCGTTGCCACAATTCGCTAAACACAATCGTGTTGTACAACACGGACGAGAACCCTTCAGCTTTCAAGTACGCGGACCCGCCGCGTCTTGGCGGCAAAAACAGATTCATCCTGGCGTCGCTGTCGTCTAGGGTGGTCATCCTGCCAAACATGTCGCGGTCGTCCTGACTACATCGGCGAAGGCGGAAAATGAACGGCGCAAGGAGTGACCACGTGCTCTTGTCGCCGAGCATCGAGTACAGCGTGCTGCCGACGTACTCGGCGGGCGACGCCATGTTGGACATGTTTGCCTTGGACAAGAGAACGTCGTAGCACGGGCTCGTCCTGGATTCGAGCGCATTGTAGACATCGACAAGGGCTTGCTTCGACGACGGCTTGCCAAGTTTGGACGAACAGAACGAGTCGTTGTCGCAGTGGGCGAAATACTGGTCGACTGGTGCCAGCGTGAGTCCAGGACGTGTTCGTCGCAACACACGAGAGGTACCTGCATCGCCCACATCTCGGTCCCAGTTGGAATAGTACGGCGCATCCTTCGTCGACCCAAACTCCTCCGACTGGATGCTGTCCAGCACGTACCCCTTCACATTGGGTGGCTGCATGTGCATGAGTCGAGTCACGGTGTACGTGCCGTAGCTCACGCCATAGACAAAGATGTCGGTGCTGTCAAACAGCGACGGCGCTTGCATGACCGCCGCCAAGTCGGACGCGGCACTTGTGACGGAGAAGCCTGCTGCGCCATTGCCACCTACAACGCCACACGTCAAACGTCTGCACCGTCCTCGAATGATGCGCACCGTAAAGCGTCTTCAATTCATGGTGGCACTTGGCCAAGGCATGCCACCGAGTTAATTTGTTGGAGTTGGTTGTGCAGTCCAAGATCGTGCTGCGCCCTGTGCCGCGATGGTCGATCGTGTAGACGCTCAATGTGCCGTTGAACGCCTTGTACGCGTCGAGAAGCCCTGGTTCTACTGCAAGTGGCCTCTCACGTGGCGGACGATGACAAAGGACACGTACAACTTGGCGAGCCAAAGCCTGGTCCGCCCTGCACCATCCACAGTGCTCGGGCCTGTTTGTCGGCTGGAGGCTTCGCCGCAAGCAACCTCTTGACAAACACACTGATGGTCTTGGTCGAGTCGCAGACGCCAGGATAGCAGAGCGGCAGCGCCACGTCGGCGCATTCAGCTGGTGTCGCATTGGGATCGTCATGGGCCTGGTCTTCCGCTGTCTCAAAGGGACATGGATACCACGTAAGGTTGACCTCCGTCGCCTCCACGGATTGTCCGTGCCATGCTGGCGCGAGGGCGATAGCAGCTAGCACGCCCGCGACCGCCGTCAGCTTTGACTGCATGATGTGCGCAGGCAAGATGTGTACGCAAGACGGGGGTGCGTGCGAATGGAGTGAAGTCCAGTGGAAGCAGGTAGGTGCAGCCGTCGTAGGTGCAGCAAGGAGCACCCGGCTGAACTCGTGCTGGTGCCACCCGGTGATCGGCCAAGCTTTTGGTCAACATCAACCGTGTTGGGCATTCAGGGATTGTTTAACGCATGCGTTTTATGCTGCATTTGGTTTTCAATCGCGCTAAACGTACCACCAGAACCTCGGCGCTATAGTAGTATGCCATTGCTCGGCGGTGCTTGGGCCTCGGTGCGACGATGCAGTTGGTAGGCGGCTTCATTTTGGGTGTGCGTCGTTGTTATCGAGGCCATGCACCGCACACGGCTACGAACAGCTCTTCCCGACACCACTGTTTGAGCATACAGGCCATACCTTTGCTTGAGGTGTTTCGTGCATGCATGGAGCCACTTTGAACGTGCCGAGCGCGACTCGACCGTTGGTTTGGCTCTAGGTACGCTGGATATACTGTACGGACGAGGGAATCACATGAACAGTTGGCCGATGCGATGCCGGGGGCATGACGCCCGCACACAAGGAGATCGAGGACGAGCCTGCAAACCTTCTGCCTCGAAATGGTGTTGCCAGCAAAATACGACCAGCTGTAACGTTGTGCGAAATCCGTCGCGACTGGCTCCAACATGTCGTGCTGCTTGAACTCAGGCGCACTAGGACACCGACAGGCTTTGTACGCGCTCGGTATTGCCGTCTCTCCGCCGCCCAACCTCCTGACACAAAAACTTCGCGGTGTGGTAACCAACGGGGTTGTTGGATCTTGCCCAACATGGCGGGAAGGAAAAACGCGGTTTCGCTTGTTTAACGCGTACGTCAAACTTATCGTATGTGAGTAATTCAAAGTTGTCGTCTGTCCGAAATGAATTCCAGTGGCAAACCATCCCTACTCTTCCATACGACGGCACGATGCGCGTTCTCGCCCCACTCATGGCGATCGTCGCGGCGCTCGTTGGCCCATCCAGCGCCAAGGCGGTGTGGTACCGATGCCCCATCATGACTGTGAGCAAGGGGGCAGCCCTAACCGAGGATAACCCGCTCGTCGACTGCGCCGACATTGAAGTGCCGCTCTGCCACCCTGGCGTGTGCACGAGCACTCAGACAATCACGGTGTTTGTGAAACGCATTCCGCCACAAAAGGCCCCTGCGGCCGGATCCAAGCCGCAAGTGCTGTGGATGCTTCAAGGGGGCCCTGGCGAGTCGTCCGTAAACAGTACGTTTTTGCTTCCATCGCATCATGCGGTGCTGACCGTGAGGTTGGCGCAGTGGAGGGTCTCATGGTGGAAGCGTTCGTGAACTCTGGCAAGTCCGTCGCCGTGTACACAATGGACCATCGCGGTACGGGCCGCAGCGCTCCTCTCTCGTGCGCGGAAAACAACATACCTTACTCGCCAAATGTGACGCTCAAGTGCCTTGGCAGCATTAAGCAGAAATTCGGTATGGCTTGGTTGCCGTGGGACTCTATCGCGACCCGTCGTTGCTTTCCACCCCACAGACAAGGGCTAACTCTTCGTCGCAGGATCGGTCGCGCCCGCCGCGTTCTCGGTGACGAGTGCTGCGTCCGACTTGGCGTACATCATTGCGAACGAACAAGCGACCAGCGAAGTGTACGTGTACGGACTCAGCTACGGCACGTACTTGGTCGAGCGCGTCATGCACTTGGCTCCAGCCGGGGTCAAGGGCTACATCCTTGACAGCATCCAGAGCGAGCAGTTTTACACGACCAAAGACGCGCCGTTCTACTCGAACTGGGACCGAGACGTGGCTGGCACAGGTGTGTGCGCTTGCCGTGCTGTTGGGGATTTTTCTGTCGGTGGCTCACGTGTGCATCGCTGTCGTAGTGGACACATTCCTGTCGTATTGCGACAACGACAAGTTCTGCGCATCCAAGATCGGGCCCAAGTCCAAGCTGTACATCCAGGGCCTGTACGCACGTCTGGACAAGACGTCCGTGGCCAACAAGTGCGCCGATGTGATCCGCACACTCGTCCCTGACTACGCCAAGAACCCGTCGTGGCTCGTCAACAACTTTTTGTACACGATGCTCAAGGACTACAACAAACGCACATTGATCCCGCCGTTCCTGTACCGGTTGAACCGGTGCAACGCGGCGGATCAAGCGGTTGTTGCCAACATGGTCAGCATCCTGACCAACTCGACGGAAAACCTCCTCATGACGTCGCTGGACGGGTTCCCGACGGCCAAGTCGCTCAACTTATCGTCGGCGAATCTGTCCAAGGTGTCGTACTTGACGGGCGAAGGCCGGTCGAATGTCGTGTACAAATCGATCGTGCTGAGCGAAATCTGGGAGCTCCCGTCGCCGTCCGTTGCCCAGATGACCAAGTGGTTTGAACGAGCGCTCATGGGCGCGATGAACCCCCTCGAGCAACGAGAAAACATCCTGGACAACTGCATCTACCTTGGCGGCAAGGACACGTTGTGCAACGACTTTTCCGTTGCGTACGACTCGGGCTTTACGTATGCCCGCGATTCCAACTGGAACAAAACCGCCGCGATCCCGACGGGCGCGTCTGTCCTCATGTTCACGGGGTCGCTGGACCCGGCGACGCCGCCCAGGTACGCCAAGGACGAATACGCCACCATGGACGGCGCGAACAAGAAATTGTACGAGTTCCCGTACGCGCCGCATGTGATTGTGGGCCAGAGCCCCACCGAGTCGGGTGTGGATTGCGGCGGAGTGATCCTGGCGTCGTTTCTCGAAGCCAAGGGCGACTTGTCCCTGCTCAAAGACTCTTGTGTGCCGAACGTGCTCAAGATGAACTTCACGACCGTCTTGGACTCCAAGTATGCCGTCTCTCTCTTTGGCACGGACGCTGACGTGTACGGCCCTGGGGCCGCCGGGCCAAACCCGGCCTTGGAAGCACCGTCAACCACTCCTTTCAACGATACGGACAAGCCATCATCCACTAACCCTCAGTCCGCGACATCACGCATGATGTCGTCGACCGCAAGCCTTGCCGCGTTTGCCGTCCTCGCGGCTGTCGTCTAGTTCGTCCTAATGCGTTCGAAATGCATGCTACCATCTCGACGCTGAATCACCTCCAGTTTGGCCTCTTCCATCGCTTCCACGGCCATCGACGGCAGGATGCCCCGATGACGGAGCCATTGACTTTGTCGTCGTTGTATCTGGATCCTTCTGCTGAGCAGGAGTTAACAACATCGACGAGCAGACCGGTAACGAAGCGTCTATGGACCGAGATTTCCAGCGGATGCGGGTGGAGTCAACGCACATTTCCAAGTGCATGGCAGTGCACACCCTGACGTCGACAGGACCAACGGGCGATGGATGAGCAGTGGAATATATATTCAGATATCCAAGCGAAAGAGATCGCATGCGCACACTCACATTGCTACGAAAGCGGCCATGGCGTCTGGGTGCGCCGTGCGCCACGCGCTAATCAGGTCGTTGTGCAGGTCCGGGTGCGTTCGGCTCAGCGCTGCCGGATCCTGTCCGCCATGCAAACTTCAGCAGAGTCCATGGCACGAAAGCTGACCCACCTCTGCAAAGAAGACAAAGACCGTCGCGACCGCACTGTTGACGACGCTGAGTGGAATCAACGTGACCCCGGCCCCAAACACAAATCCAACCAAGGGGACGATGACTACAAGCGAGTCCATAACGCACGTGCGAACGATATCGTGTTGTAGGCGTACTGTTGGCGCCCGAGAACGTGGACGTCATGCCGACGAGGGAGTATGCCAAAGCAAGAAGGGCGCAGATCACACCTGCGACGTGGTTGTGAGGTCCTTTCGGAATGAACACGAGGTAAGTCGCGTAGTGTACCGCTGACAAGCGAAAGTGCGCCCATCGCGGTATCGACCAAGTCGTCGTTGACGATGGCGGACAGCCCTCGTTGTTGAAAGAGGCCAAACACGGCCTTGCCCGCATGGGCAAATGGAAACCCGTACATGCCGACGTACACAAATGCCCACCGGTTGATATACATGAGCACGCCTCGCAGGATGAGGAGAATGCATTCCGCGATACACGCCGCGCCATTGCCTTTCTTCTTGGCTTCTTTGGCCAGCTACGTCGCTTCACAGTCAAGATCACAAGAAGGATTTGTGGCCAAAAACATGGCGAGGAAATGGTCCCGTACTGCTTCAAGGGTTTGCAAGATAGCAACCAAGAACGCTCCCAAACAAATCGATCCAAACGACGTGGTGCTCGCCCGACGGAACGACCCGGACATCGCCGACTGCGAGTCACCGGCCGCCAACCACGTGGCCACCATGCCGGCGACTGTCGTGTGGAGGACGTACTTGGCCACCTAGACATAGGAGAAGTCGTAAAATGGGATTCCTACTCAATCGAGATGTTGTACGTTGACGCCCCAGTAGAGCGACAGCAGCATGAAACAGTACGCCACGACGACTTGACCAGGTACGAACGGTTGACAAATCTTTTGAGAATCACTATTGCGCGATATGTCGCACGCTCCTGACTCGCATTCGCTGTTGGCGGAACACGACGTGCCAGCAGAACTGGCCCCGGGATTTGGACTTTCGGTGGTGACGTTGCCGAGCACCCCAATGAATGCAACTGCCCTACGCACAGTGGATGCCCATGATGCGACAGAATGGATGGCGGACGTGTAAGGATCGTTACCATAGGAAGACCCACACGACTTTAATCGCCATGACGAGAATCGCCACGGGGAAAATGGACCAGTTTTTCGTGACAGCGGCGGCGGCCACGTGCAAGTTGGCGCCAGCAAATGGAATACGACTCTTGACTGCGTGAACGTAGCTGGGCCAAGATGGATGATGAGTTGGGTACGTGTTTGAGAGCCGAGTCTCACCAGAGGCCACACATCCCAAAAAAGATGAAGACAATCGCCAGGACGGCGGCGCCACCGGCGAATCCTGCGGCCGCAAACACAAAGCACATGACGACGTTTCCCCTGACAAAATATGTGTGACGTTAAACTTCAGAAACTGGCAGTCCCCATTGTAGCAACGGCATTACCATAAGCTGTACGCGATGATTTGTTTGGCAAACTTGAGCACCGCTTGCAAGAGTAGGTATGCAACGATGGCTGAGACGACGGCAAGCACGACGGCCACAACTGCGATTGTTCCAATGTCCTGCGGCGTGAAAGAAGGACTGGAGCCCGTAGAGCCTGCCTGACTGGATGAAGCCGCCGCGTTTAACATTGGTACTCCCAAAGACACCATGACCGCCACGATGGCCGCAACGTGGAGGAGAAAGAGAATGGCGAACGGCGCGTCCTTCCACGTCGACGTCGACGCAGGCTGTGTTGGCTTCATCACTTGAATAACCGGCTGGATGGGCACTTCTTCCGTCGCCACCTTCATCTCGCCCAGACTCTTGGTTAATGGCGCCCCCTCGATCCTTCCATCCTCATCAACATGGGGATTCCTACCATTCTATTAATAGGACAAGCTCGACATGGAGTATTTAAAGCATTTTGATTGGTCAAAAATGGTCTTCCCAAATTGATTGGCCAAAATTTCAATTGCCTCCAGCGATTGGCGCATCCTGTTCGTGTACATTGCAAGCGGCAAGGAGAAACGAGTTGAGCACGCATCCATGGGGTTCCACTTCCTCGGACCGCGGCACTATGGTCACTGGAAGCGCCAGGAGATTCTCGGTGCGTCGGGTGTCCCGCTTGGATGCATGCGATCCGTGGAAGGAGCTCTCGCCCGCGACTTGGAGCAGCTTCTGCCCACGGTATGCATTGCACATTCGACATGGCTTCCACAATGAAATCGTAGCTCATGGGCGCACGAGATTACCGCGGCGCAGCAGCGATTCTCAACGTGATTTACGCGCACTTTATGACCGATCCAGCATCATGTGTCACGGTAAGCGAGCAAGTGTCCGTTCGTGCAGGGAAAGTTGACAGAACTTTGACCCAGACGAGTTTGGAAATCCTGCGCCGTCTACCTGATACGACACCAACCCTCGTCGAGTTCTATGAAAGTCTTATTGACTGGCAGTCTGCGCATATCAGTGTACGTCTGTCATGTGCTTCTCTCGAGCATACTGTTCATGGCGTGGTTTTTCATCCATAGAACGACGTGATCGTCCGCGAGCGGTTCCTCCTGTACGTGCTGCAAGGGGACTTGCACGAAGCGTACGCGTATTACAAGGAGCACATGCAATTGGTAACACCTCTTCTCCCCTTCGCTCTACTCGTCACTAAGCAAAAGACATGCGAACCCTGCAGGAAGTGCTACAACAGGATGTGCATGTCGTCGCGAGCTTCGGCATGGTGTGCTACTGGCTCCTCTTCCGCGAAGATCAAGAGCTTCGAGACGAGTACATAACGTCGTCTGGGTGCGCTACCAACTTCAGCACCGACGACGGCGATGTCAGCAGCTCCGCCGCGGCACAGTTTACCCAGGACGCATCATATCCCATCCAGCACGGCGTCGGCACTGCCACATTGTATCAAGAAGCGCTCGTGAGCTTTCGTCGAGCGATGACGCTCAGCCCCGAGAGCAACGTCTTTGTCGAATACTATGTTCAAGTACGATCGCGGCTCAGTTGTTGCAGAGTTTGACGTAACAACTGTCGGTGCTTAGATGCTCGTGATGAAGAACGATATCGAGCTGGCTGCCGACTACTTGGAATACTTCTACCATCTCTACCCGACAGAGCCCCACGCGTGCCGCATGGTACACAACGATGCCTAGTATAGCTCAACTTCTCACGGACGTGCTCTAGTTGTTCGACTTTTACACCCAATTCTTCCCCCATTCCACCGCATGCCGCGTCGAGATTTGCATAAGGTGCTTTGTGGCCACGATTCTGGCATGCTCGTATGGATTCGTAGTAGGACGGTTGATGGATGACCTTGGCTTGTAGATGGAATACCCTCGATCCCTCGACATTAGTGCCATTGAAAGCCCTCGTGCAGAGCCACGAGAACGGTAGGAACCAAGCTGCTGTTTTCCATGCTTGATCGCTGGAGATGCATGCCTGACAGTGTGTCGACGATGCTGCTGTAGACGTCGTGGCGATGGAAGTCCTAGCTGAGTGTCTGTGCCATTCGCTCGACCATTGCGGGAGCGCTGTGTATATGCAGCTGCACCCCGACACGGCGCTGTGGTTGTGGCAGCAGCTTGCCGACCTTCTTGGACCTGTGCGTCGACGCTTCTTGGCTTTTTTCACATCTGGCGGCTGTGTAGGTGTCGCTACCCGGTGTATCGAGAGAAGTAGCAGCATGTTTCGAACCGAGACAGTGGTGGCAGCGAGTATATTTTTCCTTTGCGGGTCCCACAGGTCCACATGCTCGCATGCGTCGAGTATTGTGCTCATGACGGATTCGTCAATTGTAGACGAGTTGACGCAAGTACAAGTACTGCAATGTGTGGTCGTTGCCCGTGTGTGGGGTCTCGAAGCGCTGTCGTCCACGATCCGCCTTCACGAGCTCGTGGATTCGCCGGAAGGCGTTGTGCGCGCCATCGCGAAACGGTGCCGTCAGCCACATAAGTCGTTCGACTGCTGACGCTGCCATGGACTTGTAGCTTTCACTTGGATGTGCTTGCACCCCGATCGACTCCACCAAAAATACCCACCACCGATCCCATCCTTCGCGTGTGGACTACGCAACTGAGTTGGCGGCCATCACTTGGGCAATTGCGCACCCCACACGTCCTTAAACGGCCGCAAGTTCTCACTTCGTTTGACGTGGAAGATGCTGTTCAAGTACATGAGGTACTACTTGACTGGTTTCGTTTGCTCTGTCATGGAGGATGCACGTACTTGGACATAGGTTGCGTTGGACGCCGCCCCGCCATGTTGCCGCATTCAACGGCCACCGAATTGTGAGCCAAGTGTGATTCACTCACGCCATTCGACGAGGCAGCATCCGTATTTATGGCTCATGAGCCAGCGAAGTGGCCGCACCAACCCGTGGCATATCCAAGTGGCGTCGACGTCCATTCACGCCGTCGACCCGCCGAGGGAAGCTGGCGTTATGGTCGATATCGCCGACACGCCCGACTTCACGGCCAAGGACTGCTTTGCTGCCGCAATGGAAGACGAGCTCCTCCTGTCCACCAAACACGAAAGTTCCATCAAGCCACCACATTTATGGACGTCGTACTTGTACAAGAACCTTCCCACGCCGCCGACCCTCCAACAGGGTTCGACCATTATCCGCGCTCTGCGCCACAAGCACCCGTTCCAGCCGCAGCATCGCATCCCGGCACGCTTTCTCCACTGGATCCAGCATTACATGTTGCGACATGGAGTTCGCGCCACGCCGGACAAGTCAGTGTGTTGATCTGCATGAACTGGGCTCATGGTTCATGACAGGTGCCGGTTGTACTTAGAGGCGCAGTGGCGCCGTCAGCGCGGTCGATGCCGCGGCCTTCCGTCCTCGGATGCGGTGGCGCTGGCAATCGAGTATTTCAAAACCAACCCAGCGATCCTCCCACGCCGCATCCGCGAACGTTTCCGGGAGTTTGTTCTCAGTCATGGAAAGCACATTTCGCTCGTCGACCTTTGCCGCGAGTTTTACACGCAGTTGGAGGCTCGAAAGCCGTCGAACCTCCCGTTCTTTAGCGTGTTGTTTGCTACGACCAAGCAGTGGATGATGACCGGATTCAATCGCGGCATCTGCGCCGTCACTGCATGCTATCCCCCTGGCGTACGTCCTGCATTGCGAGCGCGGGAATGCCCTTTTACAGCGATCCTGGCCCAAGCTGCAACAAGGCTTACCTACTTGTAGGAACTCAACTGCGATGACGACGACGATGTATGGAATCGAGCCCTCAACGAAGAGCCCCCCGTGGCCGAGTCCTCCTTCCTTCTCCCCGCCAACCAGCGGTACCTGTCGTCGATTGAAGAATGGCTGCGCACCGAGTCGCCCGTCACAAACGCGACGCTGGTTTACTACATGCACATGCACTTTGACGCGACGAGTCCCGACTTTCCGTCGCCGCCGTCCGTCCTCTCTGCCATGATCGACTACGTGCGCGTGCAGCTCCATGCCGAGCTCGCCGACGTGCCGACGCTGGAAGACAGCATCTACTACTCGCTGCCGAAAACCATCATGCACAAGCCCAAGTACCGCAAGTACCTCGAGTCATGTGTCGTGCGTCATCCGAACATGCCGTTTGAAGATATCGTGCGCATCATGCTGGACAAGGCCCAGTTGCCGCCGTCGAAAGACAACGTCCCGTCGATGCGCGAACTCTACAGGTGGTGGAAAGCTACCGTGAATGACCTTGTCTGCGCCGGTCTCGGCCACGGCACTCGAGTTCCCGATTGCACGTTGGAAGAAGCGGACGTCGCCAGGGTTCCACCCGTCTTGAAGGACTGGTTGGGCGACATTGAGACGGCCAAAAAAAAGTTGCCAAAGATGCTCAACCTACCCGACGACATGGAGATCTTTGCGATCTAGTCACCGCCAACATGCATCGACCAGCCCAATTCAAGACACTTGTCTCGTGTAAGTCTTCGTGGTTTGCTTCCACCACAGCAGTGGCCATGCCACCGGTGGCAGCGTCGATGTGTCCTCGGCTTTGACGATGACGCTACAAGACTACGTGGAGTGGGGGTTGACCAGCGCTGCGATCTTGGTCGTGTTGTGCCGCACGGTGTGCAAGAGTTGCTGGGTGTCCTTGTGGTTGGGTCGATCGTGGATGGACCGATGGAGGCGGGTGGTGGTGGGCTTCTTGGTGTGTTTTTCGATGCTGCGCTTACACGGCGACGTCATCTGCATGCCGCTCGAGATGGACTCGGTGGAGGACTCGAGAGTGACTGTGGCCGTGTTGGGGGTGGGTAGCTGCGGCGCACGGAGCTGCGGGCAGGTGGTGACATGGGCCAGCGAGTCCTGGACAACGTGACGCAAGTGTACGTTCTTTGCCCCGTTCGGGTAAAACATTGGCGCCGACATCGTGTGGGACGCTAATGGAGCGATTCCCGTGTGTTTCAAGTCGGGAATGTGAATCGGCTCAACGAGAAGCTGCGAGTGGGCTTGGTCCTTTGCGCCGGCCATGTCGTCGACGTGGCTAATGTACTGGCGCGATTGCACAGTCATGACGTCCAGGTACGGCGTGTGATGGCGCTTCGGACGATGGTGCGACGTGTGGCTATCATGCCGACCGAGGGACTCGAGAAGGAGATGCGTGCTGCTCATGTCCGGGCGCCGTGAAACGGTTCAAGGAATGCGCGGTTTCATGAGCACCACGACGCGGAAGGTCAGCCACGTGCGCGCATGGAGCATGCGTCAAGAAGTGCGCGCCGCTCGATGGATTGCGTAGGAGTTATGAAAAAAGCATGACCATCAAGACGAGTAGAGACGTTAGTTAAGGATTGTGCCGCAGTGGACGCAGCGACGCTCCGTGAGCAAGAGGCAGCATAAGATGCCGATAGGGAAAAAAAGGATGCCCAAGAGCACCCCAGGGCACGTGAACTCGTTGGTTTGGACCGCATGGGCGCAATGGCCTGTCGCAGTCAGCACTTGGCCAGGCACAACGATGAATTCGCCGCTCGCAAGAACTTGAGGCTGCGCTTGCACAACTACGTACTGAGGTTGTTGCACAACTGGAACAGCATGGACAACTTGAGGTTGTTGGTGTAGTTGCTGCCCACCGTTCGCATATTGGGGCGCGGCTTGAGCGGGGTATGCTTGTTGCGTTGGCGGTGGCGCATACGAAGTGTTTGCGTTGGCCGCGTTCAGCGATGACCCGCACCGGGAGCAGAACGCAGCGTCTTTTGCGTTTCCGTCAAAGCGGCAGTTGTCTACGGACGCGAACGTGAGACTACATGATGGCTCAAGGAAGCGGCGACTCACGGCACAGCACCGACATGAGGGAAACAACAGTAAATGAAAGTGCGTCGGGCACCCAAGATATTCGCGAAAAAAGGGCGATTTTTCTCCCATTTCTCCAAGAAATGAATTCATTCGTCCAAACCGCCAAAATTCGTCAACGGTTCGAGTCGTTGGAAATTCGAAATGTCGACCACATTTCAATATTATCTTGGTCCTTGTATCGTACGAGTGGAGAGTCGTATTTTATGAGGATCATCACAGAGTGATGACCCCAACACTCTCAAAAAGAATTACTACAACATCAACAGTCGACATATTTTTGTGCTGGCCATGCCTTGGCGAGGTGTGAGCTTCAATCGTGCGCTGGCAGGGAGTACGTTTGATCCTGTCAGGAAAAGTGATTAGTGCTTCCAGATGTGGGTTGTTCGTCAACGTATATTCTCACGAAAACTACGTCAGATTTAGATGCGTGCACTTGTATCGTTCATGACACTTTGGTGGGTACATTCTCAAAAGCACCAACATTCTCGATGACGAACACTGGCCATTGCCCAGCAACGAAACGACGTTGCGGTGGGTGTTGTGATCTCGGGCAGCCCACTTCGCGTACCGTCCATGCGCTTCCCTCGAGGGCTAGAGTCAATCCGTACGCCCCCTGGTACCCACACAGCCTGGGAGGTTTCTGGACCCAACCAGACCATTTGAAAACCCGATGAAGCAAGGCCACCACGATCAACACAGTGCCTGTTGGACCACACCGATGGGCGAAAGCTGTGCCGCCAGGCGCACTCCAGCTGGTGCACTTGGCAGTTGGGTGAAGGTAGCATTAGGTGGTGGTGAAGAGCTACCATACGCCACCGACGACGGAGTTGTCTAACACAGTGGACCATGCGACCGCCTTCATTGGCACTAGGACGATGCGATGCAACGCGGAAAGGTCATGTTTCAAATCTTTAGTACGTCCACGACATGTTGATGCCTTGGTCCTTGAGGTATCTTGCCACGACGACGTACCCAACGACAATGAACAGACCGCACAGGGCAAACACGATCCAGAAAATGTACTCTGTGTCTTGAATGTGTGAGTTCAAATTCATGCCAAACGCGCCCACGATAAACGTTGGCATTGCGATCAGTGTGCCCAACACCGTCAGGCTCAAATCAACGCTCAGCAAAAAGTTTCGCTTCGAGTCGAGCTTGAGCATCACGATGCTCTCTGTGTTGACGATGTTGTGGGCCATGAGGGCGACGCGAGTCTGGGAGCCGTAAATTTCCTGTCATTTACACGCGCACGGGGTGAGCCAGCCGGTCGCGGTGTCCCCACGCACATCTTGATTCGCCCGAAAATTGTACCTGCAAGTACAGCTCCAGAATCGACTCGACGTCTTCCGTGTCGAAGCTATACAAATCTTGGGCGAGTTTCGGGTCCTCGCAAAGCTAAACATGGCCCAGGAATGCGCTTCAGGCAACCGATAGATGAAACCATGGCCAACTTACTTTGGTCAGGTACATCATGTGCAAGTCCGCTTCGTTCTCGAGCAAGTTCATGAGTAGTCGTCGCATGCCGCCCAGCTGCGACTCGAGCACGCTCATCGTGTTCTTGATTGATCGGAGGCTCTCGAGTTCGCCGATCGATTCGTCCTTGGTCATCTTTTCCAGCGCCGCGCGGCCTTCCGGGATCACTTGTTTGCATTGCGTCGAAAACGTAAAACAAACAGTCGCCAAGATTGCTTCGAGCGCCCTACAGCCGTGCCATGACGACGCCACGGGGCAATTCACCAAAACGTACGCAAACTCGAACGCCGTCGCGTCGGCAATGTGAAGCTTAAAGTTGGCCTTCAAGTGCGCGATCAAGCTGTCCGCGCCATCGGGCAAAAAGACGAGGCAGCAGTCCCTCATGATGACTGCTCGAACCGGATCTACCGTCATCAATCAACGATCAATTTCGTGCACGTTTGGTTCGCCACGGCATTGCAACGTGCCGCAGTTGACGAGAATGGCTTGCTGGCGCACTGTGATGGACGGCTCGTTGGACGTGGAGAACATTTTATCGAGCTTGCGGATATCGCGCATGTGCACAGTCTACGAGGCCGTCCAGCGTAGCCGTGGTGGGAGGTCGGCCGTACCGGGATGTCCATGGCTGTGTCGACCTGTTGGCGGATTCGGGAATGCGGCTTACTTCGCCGTTGCGGTGACGACGCCATCATGTTCACGGCTGACCGCGCGCCGTCGGGTTTGTTGGCCTGAGCATGTAAGTTCCTTGACGACGTGAAGAAACGTACCGAAAACGCCACACTCGTGGCAGCAATTCGAATCGTTGTTAGCACGTCGTTGCGGGTCACTTCCTCGTAAGTAGACCCCCCCCGCGTGTCAAAGCGCAATGTCTGGATGAAGACGACGCGTGGTCAGAAGGTGCGAGAGGCTCTTGCAGGTGACCGTACCATGCATTTCCCGAGCGTGCTTGTCGTGGGTGACAGCACCACGTCGGTGTGCAAAATAGTTTGGGCAGACGAGTCCTCGGGGGACGCCTGGACCGGCCCTTTGCTGGGAAGGAGCGACTTGCCGTGCCGAGGCCCCATGGCGCGACTGCCCCAGTACGAATCGAAACAGGTTTGGTGGTCAAGGCTAGCTATTTATATCTCTCGGCACAACGCAAGGGCGACGTGCCGAGCCTTGTTTCCATCTTGTAGCGCGCTTGGTGTGCGCGATCCATCGCCTGCCATTCCACGACCGTGTTGGAGTAAATGTGAATATCCTGACTGGGAGTGCACACTATTCCATCGCGCGACCACGGACGCGTCTCTCGCGGTGGCGTGCTCGAAACGTTTCGGAAAGGCAGCTAAGTTTAGCATGCCGTTCAGTTCTATACACACGCGCGGGTGCCGTCGCGATGCCGTCATCCATCTACATGTTTGGGAGCACTTCACGGGTTGACGACAAGGGAGGGATGGTCTTGGAGCCCCACGCCGTGTCGGGCGAAGTGCGCCGGTCTGTACATGGGTTGATTCCGACCGGCAAGTCCATGGTACGGCCATGCAATGGCCATTCTGTCTCGATACGACTGAACTTGCGTCGATGTGCTCAGGCATGGCATTTTGAACCGAATGGGTTGTGCTCGTTTCGTCAAATCACGCGCGCCGAGCTGTTCAAGATGATCCGAGTCGCGTCGTCGTCAGGGGTAACGAACACCAGTGGCCACCCGCGAAATGCTGACAACGCCAAGGTGCAGACCGCGCCAAGACAGCGCAGCACTCGTCGATCCCATCTCGCAACGATTCCGGTACTGTTTCTCACGTCGAACGAGATCGATGACGGCGATACAGGCCATTCAAAAGCGCGATATTCGACAACTCGACCAAGCGTACGTGGAGTCGCACGACCCGACCATCGTCGTCCGGGACCAATCCATCTTGATCCACGTTGGTACACACAATCTGTGGTTGCTTTTCGTTCCCCGCGATTCATTGCAACGGGTCGTTGCATGGCAGATACGATTCGTGCGGTCGTCCTGCGCGACGCGTGCATCGTGTTCGACGGCCCCCATGACACAATCGCCCTCGTCAAGGCAAAATTTCGAGAAGTCATGGGGGAGAATCCCTCGGCACCGTTTGAGCTCTCGTTCGTGATGCCGTTCCGATCGTCTCCCTGACCGAGGCGAATATGGCCAGGTCGTTTGAAGTTCTCTTGTCGACGCTCACTGCCCTCTACGCCAAGGCGTTTGACGCACTGCGGCCGGCGGCCGACGCAGCGCTCCGCGAAGTCGCCAACATTGAACGTCCCCGCGGCGAATTCGAGCAAGTTAAAGCGATTCAAACGTCGTTGGCGGTATTGGAATGCAACGTGGTCAACATGCGCCAGTTGCTCATGTCGTTGCTCGACAACGACGACGACTTGCACATGTTGTACCTGACCAAAGTACGTAGTCGCCCGCGCCATCCACTCGACTGGATGGGGCTCCGATCACTCGCTAGGTGCACGACAACCCGTCGCTGCTTCAAGGCGACATGACCTTTGACGTGGACGAAGTTGTGGCCATTCTCGAAGCTCAGTTGCAAGTCCGTCTCGCCTGCCCAAACGGCGATGACTGACGGCATGTCTAGGACATGTACGGGATCGTGTCGCACATTTCACTCATGATCTCCAACATCCAGCACACCGCCCGCGTCGTGGACCTCATGTGGACGTCCAAGCGCAATTACCTCCTTCTCATCGACATGTCACTGCGAGTGATGCTCATGCTCATGTACTGCACCAACTACTGGACGGGCGCGTTCGGCCAGAACCTCAAGTCGAACGTCGAGGAGAACGAGGGATTGTTTTGGGGCACGTCGTTGGTCTGCACGGCATGGACGTTTGGTGCGTACGGCGTCGTGTGCAAGGTGTTTCTCGCTCGAGGGCTGAGTCTGTCGTGGCACAAGCGAGTTTAAATCGCATAAGTTGAATGGGTCGCTAGCCACGGGTACGACGTGCACGGGGGACCTGGCCATTATTGTCAGTACTTCCACGACATGTTGATGCCTTGGTGCTGGAGGAACTTGACGACGACATGGTACCCCACAATCACAAAGACCAGACAAACCCCAAACACGATCCAAAAGATGTAGTCGGTGTCTTGGATGTGCGAGTTCAAGTTCATCCCGAACGCCCCCACGACGAACGTTGGCATGGCCATGAGTGTCCCCATCAACGTCAGACTCAAGTCAACGCTCAGCAAAAAGTTGCGCTTCGCATCGAGCTTGAGCATCACGATGCTCTCCGTATTGACAATGTTGTTGGCCATGAGCGCCACTCGCGTCTGCGTCCCGTAGATTTCCTATGTCGCGTGGGAGGCAATTGCACGACGAACGGGCGCCCGAACAACACACGAGCGACGTACTTGCAGGTACACTTCCAAGAACGACTCGACATCTTCAGTGTCGTAGCTAAACAAGTCGTGCACGAGTTGGGGATCGCAGGCGAGCTACAGCCACCGAATGACAATGCGAGAATCGCATGGTGGAGGCGACAACGACGCACACCTTTGTCAAGTACATCATGTGCAGATCTTCTTCGTTTTCCAAAAGCGACATGAGGAGGCGGCGCATGCCTCCGAGCTGCGCTTCGAGCGAACTCATGGCGTTCTTGATCGATCGCAAGCTCTCGAGCTCTGCTATCATGGACTCGTCCTTGGTCATCTTGTCCAGCGCCGACCGCCCGAGTGGAATGACCTTTTCACATTCCATTGCAAACACCCGGCAGATCGTAGACAAGATCGCTTCCAATGCGCTGCATGGTCAAGGGAGGAGTCACACGTGGCCGTGAATGGAACAAGTTGTTTCTACATACGCAAACTCGAACGCTGCGGCCTCGCCAACGTGCTGCTTGAAGTTGTTTTTCAGGTGGCTGATCAAGCTGTCGGCCCCATCTGGAAGAAATACCAAGCAGCTGTCGCGCATGATGACAGCGCGCACTGGGTCTATGAAGCGAGGGTCATGCATGCCGAGGGCGAATGTTGCGGTCACCGCAGTTGACGAGGATGGCTTGCCGCCGCACCGTGATGGACGGCTCATTTGACGACGAAAACACGTTGTCCAACTTGCGAATATCGCGCATGTGCACGGCCTGAACCAAGAAGTGACCACAGGACTTTCGTCGAGGGGCGACGCACAGGGATTTCAACGGCAGCATCCACGATGAAGCGCGCCCGCGTTCGCGATCTTGACGGCCGCCGGTCGGTGGATGCAGTCGCTGTCACTGTTCTAGGCGACGGAGGGGCGTCACTCTGTACATCACGGGACATCCACCGAGTGAATGGTGGAGAACCGTGTGAGAGAGGTGATAGAGCCTACTTGTGCACCGATCCCAACGTGTTGCGCAGCGGTTTGAATGAGCCTCAGCACGTCCATGCGGCTGACTTCTTTGTACTCTGCATTGCCCGCGGGGTCGAATCGAAGTGTCTTGGATCGGTTAGAGTGAGCATGGAACCACAGACATGGATGGACGTACCAGCCGTCGGCCTTGCGTGTTTTGCACACCGAGGAGAATCCCGTTCTGGCTCACGAGCACGGTATCGTTTGGAATCAACGAGTCGAGGAACGGCGCGGACGTCGCGCTCGGACGGGGATTGGTCATCGCGAGAGAGAGGTGACGAGGGATGGCACGCTGCAATGAATGTCGATTTGGTTCACGACTGCCGACCTCGTCGGATCGCCATAATGTTCGACGAGTGGCGCCGATAACGGCCTCCGCGTCAAATCCGACGCCCTAAAAATAGCTTCGTGTATTGCGCGCCTCGATCGGGCTACAACGAGCGCTAGATGCTGGCGTTCCAGACCGAGCATAGCCTGCGCCAAGGCCTTCTTGATGCCCAGAGCCACTCGGACGATCACGATGTCCGACTTGCCATCGACCCGTTGGTCCCACCACCCTTGCACACGCAGATCGTGGTGAGAGGCCGCCGATGATGTCGAGTCAATTCACTGGCACGTGAAAGGCATGGATCTTTGACGAAAACGGCTATCGAACGCTCCACGCGACCTCGCGAGCCGACTTGCTTCTCTTGATCCGGAGAGCCACCGGCGACAACGTAGGCCAACGTGTCGATTCCGCTCTCACGATGCTAAGCTCTTTTCACAACAGACAAGATCGTTGCTGTCCCCAGAAACGTCCCCGACGCGCCGACCGTTATGCCGAGAAACTCGTTACCCCGTGGGTTTTGCTCCGATTCATTTCGTGGGGGATGGTGATTCGGATGTGGCGAATAGCCCGTGCACATGCGCGACATCCGCCAGTTGGACCAAGCGTACACAGACGCCACCGAGCCAAGCTTGGTTTTCCGAGACCAAGCGATTCTGGTCAACGTCGGTACGTCCGATGCATCGTGGGCAACTGCCATGCCCCGTTGCTGACGAAACCACTAGTCCCGATTCGAGCCATCATTCTCCGCAATCAGTTTGTTGTGCTCAGTGCGAACAGCCAAGTCGATTCAGATCACATGGCGCAGCTGCAGACGCGAGTGCAGACATACCTGCGCGAAAGCCCCAGCACCCCGTTCGAGTTTACGTTCGTGGACTAGCCGGATGTCTCGACCATCTAACCTACCATCGTCTTCTCTAGCGCGTTGGAAGGCCTCTTGGCCATCGTGTCTGCATGGTTCGCCGCACAGTGCACGCTGCTGACACCCACGGTGGACGTTGCGCTGACGTCGTTTGCAACGAACGACCGCCCACGCGAAGAGTTTGACCAGCTGCGCAAAGTGCAAAGTGCCGCCACCACGATGCACTTGCAACTCAGTGGCATTCGCCGGATGCTCATGGCGCTCTTGGACGACGAACATGCCTTGGGCATGATGCATTTGACCAACGTGAGTGCGGCACCAGTTCGACCGCGGCAATCGCTTGATCGTGTTGTCTGTAGCTGTCGCAGTCTTCCCCCGTCGACGAAGTCGAATCGGTTCTGGAAACCAACGTGCAGGTACAGCGTTTTCCTCGACGGACGACGTGCTCCAACGATGCGTTGGCAGGACATGTTTGGCACCCTTGCGAGCATCTCGATGGTGCTGACCAAGATCGACCACACGCAGCGGATGGTCGACTTGACGTGGACGTCCAAGCGAAATTACTTGCTCGTGGTCGACATGTCGCTCAAGTGCATGTTCCTCGGCCTCCTCGTCACGCATTTGTGGACCGGAATGTTTGGCCAAAACCTCCACTCGTACGTGGAAGGTGACGACGTGTGGTTCACGGCCACATTTGGATCGTGTGCCGCGTGGATTCTCGGGTCGTACGTCGTCGTGTATGTGTATTTCAAGTCGAAAGGCATTGTCCTGTCGTGGCGAATGCGTGGCTTCGACCTGCCTGAATAAACCCATGGGTGCTGGCGGCGGCTACGTCCGATCGCCATTTGAATCAGTGTGTGTTTTATGTCGAGGCATTCGTTTGACGGAGGATGGAATGGCGCGAAGCGGCGACCGATTGTGTTGTCTCAACGTGCTGTACATGGCATGGAGGTTTCTAGAGACAATGGCAGGTCGAAGCATCAGTCTAGGTCTGCCGCGAGAGAATGTGGACCATGGAGCACATCATGCCAGTGCTGTTTGTCTGCAGGTCTGCAAATTCAGGTCGCTTGCAGTGGCCTGCTCCAAGTGGTAGAGGCCACTCGACCACAACGATAACAAGCGTAGACAACGACGTGGTTTTCCATTTTTACGACGTGCGTGGTCGCTTCGAGGCAGGAGATGCGTTGTCCGTCGAGTCTGCGTCTTCAGGGAGCAATTCGATCTTGAGCTGCTGGCGGTTGCCAAACGTGAGCTCCACAAACACTTTCACCGACACCTTTTGGAACACGTGCAGGACACGCTTGGTCTTGAGCAGCGTGAGTCTGTGCTGAGAAGGATCGTGCTTGACACTTGCCGCCTCCTTGCCCTTCTCCGCCAAAACGATCATGCCCTCGATGCCAAAACGAGGCAGGAGCACACCGATGCCATTTGCACGGACCTTGTTGATCATTGCGTCCGTCGTCGTGGGAAAGTTGGCAAAATACAACAACGTGTGCAAACTCACGGATGCCCGACCGGCAAGCTGCGCGGCCAAGTGGCGTCGATTCAAACCCTGCGTGAGTTCATGCAAGTGCGCTACAGAAACACAGCGCATCGATCAGCAAAGCACCGCCGCTCTTTCAATCGTACCTTTGTTTTCCAAGTAGTCGGGCAGTGGTGCGACCCCAATCGCGGCGCTCAGCAGGCGGTGGACGATCACGTCGGCATATCTAAACGAGCAAGTTGTCATCGCCGCGGTTGACAGCTCCAACAAAAGTACCGTCGAATTGGCGACGTGAAGTGCGTATAAATCGGCGCCGCCAGCCCGTAGTGATGGTATTCGTCGACCCCGATCTCCCCCGATGAAAAGTAGCTCGCAGGCATCATGCACCGCGTGCACAGAATGCGGAGCATCTTGTTGAAGTAGGCGTTTTCCGCGCGCGACGCCGTGGGGTTGTCCAGACTCTCTAGAACCAATCGTTCAATCGACGATCCACTACCGTCAGTCATGACGAACCTTGCAGTTGCTTGGAGTTGTCGACGCGCAACGTCACACCAACGCTCTTCGCTTGGCTCACGATCGCATCAAACTGCCGCTTGGACGGAGCAGGGTGGCGACGAAGTAGCGAAAACGTCGGGAAGCTGCGCAGGATCTTCTTGGCGACTGTGATGTTGGCCAGCAACATGAACTCTTCCACCAACGCATTTGTGTCCTTCAACGCGTACATTTGGACGTCGAGAGGGTTCTGCGTCTCGGTGTCGAGCACGAAGCGGACTTCTGGCGACGCCAAAGTCAACGCACCTGGATCGAAACACGCAGCGTCGGTGAATACCTTCCCCAAGGACTGGGCAGGGGCACACACCAGCCTGAATGCGTTTGGCTTTGAGCCGCATCGCAATGTCGTGGAGGGTCTTGATACCGCTACCTAACTGCAACTTCTTGTCCGTGATGGGCTTTGTCGCACTGGCCCGGACAAAGGACGCGCCAGCCGCGGGGTCGTCCAGGAGCACTTGCGCTTCGCCGTACGACAAACTGGCAATGCTGCGAATGATACTCTTGCAGAACGAGACGTCGATCACATGCACCTGCAAAAACGAATTCGATCAGGTGCATCGAGTCCCTGCCATCGTGCATCTCGACAAACCTCGTTGCCGTCAACTTGGACTTCCCACAGCACACTGAACGCAAAGTGATCATCCGTCGACGTTAACGAGCACAACTGCGTCGTGAGAAACCCGGGCAACATGTCCAACCTCTTGTCAACCAAATACGTAGACGTGCCGCGGTCGGCCGCTTCCAAATCCAAAGCGCTTCCGGCCTCGACAAAGTGTGTGACGTCGGCAATATGAACGCCAACTTCGATGTTTCCATTCGGGAGCAGGCGCGCGTGCAGCGCGTCGTCAATATCTACCACACAAATTCAATCAACACCACAACACGCAATGGATGAGGCAAGCCAGTCGATATTGTTTCCAAACAACGTGCGAGCCGGCCATTGAACCAACGCGCCATCCACAGTCGGTTGAACCGCGCATTGCAACGATAGTTTGTCGGGTACGTGTACGTACCTTTGCAGTTGGGCGGATCGATACTGCACACTGGCAAGTGGCGCAGGTCGGTCCGGCCTTTGGAATTTTCGGGCGTGATGGTCCAGTCGGCGGGAGGCAGACACTTGAGCACCTTGTCCGAGAACTGTTCGCACGGAATGTCGTGTTCCAGGAGCAGCACTTGAGTCTCCGTCTCCTTGTCCCCAATCACGCCGAGTGTCTTGACGTAGTGGCCGACGGGAAACCGACTGTCCACGGGCCACGAGTCGATGGCGACCACAATGCGCTTGTCCATGAGCGTGTCGTGCTGCCTCGTCGAGATGCGAATCTTGGGAATCTTCCGGTCCACAGGGACAAACAGGACGTTCGTCGTCTGGGCGGCGACCGCGACCGGCTCAATAGATCCGCAGTACCGGCGCCAGTTGCGCTGAACGATGCCGACGACCTTGCCGCAGGGCTTGAGGTCGTTCGTGTCGATCACGTCGGATGGACCCAGAGTCGGTGCTGCGACCCCAATCTACACAACAGCGCCAAGTCGAATCGCTTCGAGGCAGGATGCAGTTTTCGTACATTTTCCGGTTCCGCCGTCCGCGCCGAGTCATCTTCGTCATCTTTGTCGTCGTTGACAGCAAACGCTTCCGCGGGTCGCTTCCACTGCGACTTGGGCAAGATTTCGATCGCCACGATGTCGCCATCCATGGCGCGGTTAATAAACTCGCGGCTAGATAGGGTCGTGAGGCGGACGACCCTGGCTGCGAACGAAAAAAAACATCGTACCCCGAGATGAGCACTGGCACACGGGCTTCGTTAAGGCCGTGAATCAACACGGTGCATTCGAGCCTGGAGGTCGGTTCAACCATGAGTGTGATGGCGGAAGTGAAGCGGAAAGAATCGTCGTGTACCAGTGGTCGCGGTTGCAGCGGAGGGTGCCTTGGAAGTACCGCTTGTTCTTGATCCCAGCCAAGACCTCGGACATGGTCTTGTGCTCGTCGTACAGCGTCGCGCTCTTCTTTCTTCCGCTGTTATCCGACGACGCCGCCATGTCTTGGGACATGAGGTCGGCCAGGTCGGGATACGTTTTGACGAGTGGCGAAATAAAGGACGCGATCGTGATGGCCTGGACACCGTTCGCAGCCGCCCGTTCAGCGTCCAAGGTGTCGTTCGCGATGTACGTGACGTTGGTCTTGCTTTCGAGCGACGACAGATGCGACATGTACCTACGTGTGTGTGAGAAGGACGATTCACGTGAGAGATTGACGGCATCACCATCGATAAGCGCCGCACATGGCTCGGGCATCGCGTTCGACAGTCGATTCGGCCTCAGTCTTGGCAACGTATGTGTCTCTATGATGTTCGTTCGCAAACACGTAGAAGTGGCGGTCAGATTTGATCAACGCGTGCAACCGGCGATAGATCCCCATGTCCTTGTTCTTGACTTGTTCTGCGACCGTCTCCAAAATGATGATGTTCGTCATTTCCGTACACGATGAATACTCAAGCACGTCCATTTGCCGAAGGACAACGTCGACTGTCAGGAGCAGGTACTGGGTCGCTTGAGGCGTCAAGTTCAACTTGTTGCCGTGGCGATGTGGTTGCTCCTCGATGTTGTCTTCGTCACCGTGGCAGCAGAGCGAGCACGCTGTGATACCACACGCGATGTCATCACGGAGGTACCTCTCTCGGACAATTCTCTTCACCTTTCCATGCTTCGTCGCCACATTCTCGGCATCGTACGTCCACATAACGTGACTCATCGCGGCACTCGATCGCTTCTGCTTGAGGTCGCGGGATGTTTGGCGCAAGTATCATTGGCTGCGAATTTCAAGTATTTGATTGGATATAATTTCGTTGTTCAAATGTTTTACATCCAATCAAAACGTATCCGGATAATCCAACGACATTTCAAGTGTGTGAAAAAGAAGGGCATTTCAAACTGGTGCATGAAGTCGTGATGAGGGCGGAGGGGTGGACGGATGAAGTCAAACGCAGACATGGCTTTCCTGAGCAGTCCTGATGCAGCACACATGACCATAACTTGCAGAATTATGATCATACGTGTTCTGCATGCTACTGAGGCGTGGGTGCTAGATGAAGGTGTTTTGGAATTTCCCCATCACGTGCGCAGTGTCGCAATGAGATGCAGTGTTGTGCTGAACATGGGCAATCGGGCAGGTTACAACACCGCAAGTTTGTGAGACAAATCTGCCCAAGTACGCAGATTACAGCGCCCCATTGCAGGACTGTGTACTAAACAGAATAGTGTCTGTGAGGCCGTGATTGCCTTGATCGCCGTTCATGTCGTCAAAACCTGGTAAGCTGACCTTCAATGCGATGGTTGGTGTTCACCCGCTCGACGTACGTGGAATCGCCACTCACTCAATTCGTAAGCAGGTACTCAGCCACGAGCCCTACGGCATGCATACCAATTGGAAATCGACTCGAATCCTCTGAACGACATATTCGAGTCTGGCGAACCGAACACGAAGGTAACCCCAAGGGTTTTGCTCTTTCCTTGCAGTCCTTCGTAAGTAGTAAAGGACATGAGCTCATAAACCTGACACTGTCGTGTGTGTGAGGATCGACCACACAAATGACTTTCCACCGACTCCAAAGATGGCATTGCTCTTTCCTCCATTGCCCTCACACCAATGATCAAGTTGGCCCTCGTCGCTGCACTGGATACACTGACCAGCGCTAAGATCGCCCCCAACGTGTACCGCCGCCTCAAATGGCCAGCAAGGGTGCCGGCATCGTGATTGAATTCCGCAACAGATTTGGAATTGGAAGCCATCACGGAAGTAGCGCCTCCGATCACCCACGTTCGTTCGCGTTTGGTCAACCACATGCAAGCCACCTAACCAAAGGTGGTCCAGCTTTTATCGTCGCAGCCAGTGGCGCTCACCGGGCGCACCTCTCGATTCCACATGGACAACACGTCGCACACCACTGTCTCGGCGCTTCTCGATGAAATTTGCCACGTTCTCCCGTGGTCGCTCGATTGTCGGTGCTCAAGTCGAAGTACACATTTGTTGCTTCCAACTCGACGACCCGACCTGTCGAGGAGTGCGGCGCCGGACTCGTTGGAGCTAGCGTGGGTGCAGCAACCACAACGAAGGCATCGTCGTCGGCAGCTTCGATGCGGGCTTGGTGAACGCTCAGTAGACCAACAAAGCCAACTGGCGAAGGAACTACAATTGGTTTGACCTGTCCAACAAGACAACGACCCCCATCGACCCAAGTGGACATTGCGCCCACAAGATGGAGTCTAGCGAGCGGTGGCAGCCAAGGCATCGGTGTAACCCCAGGCTTGGATCGACTGCCGCGTCTGCACGATGGACTCGTACCCTGCAGAGTTCCTGACTGCGTGCGCTCCCATGAACGCTGTGCCCCCACTCACGTCTGACGCAATGATCCACAGTCGAATTCGCTCCCAAGTCATTATCATTACGACACCGCCGCCAACAACTTGTGCCCAAGTCGAGCATGGCACTTGGCCGGGATCATTCCTGTGTTCGCAACGCTGGCTTCACTTGTGCGACGGCGGCTTCCCTGACTAGTGCAAGAACGTGATCGGGGTTTGTGGTGACCCATTGGCATACTTCAGCAGCTGGGGACTCATCCCCGACAAGTTCATCAAACCGGAGATGTCCCCCCTGGCCATACCGTCGATTGCCTTGGCGCTTTTCTTGTTCGCGAAATAGGGGCGACGTACGATGATGTTTAGAACCTCTCACGTCGACACTACGACTTTGACTATCGAGCACGAGAACTGCGGTGGGGTGAGAGATACCATCATCAACCCCCCCTCCAACATCTAATCCTTTCTCGTCGGAACATTCTTCGCGCGATTGCCACCAGCCTCGACCAGCGCCGCAGTCCCTCGCGACTACCTTGGCCCGTTTGACCACTGCAGCCCCTATATTACCACCACCACGACAGCTACGAGCCCACCCGTACATGAAAGTTCTCGTCAACTAGAGCTGTGTGATGCGGTGCCTGAATAATTGCGTCGATGGAAGCGTGGGTTTCGTTGTTGCGTGCACCGCAGTGTGTACTTTTGTGACGACCCCCTCGACGGTGGTGCTCATCCGACCGATACCTCCAGATCGCAGTGCTCCACCGAGACGGACAACTCGTCGTGCCGCAAAAAGTGGCGTCGTCCGTGTATCTCACGAGAAAAAGCGACGACAGGAGTCTACGTGCATTCAATACTTCCACGACATGTTGATGCCTTGCCTCTTCAAGTACTGCTGCGTGTATACGTACCCAAGCACCATGATGGCGACGCACACACCAAACACGATCCAAAAGATGTAGTCGGTGTCTTGGATCGTCGAGTTCAAGTTCATGCCGAAGCCACCCACGATAAACGTTGGCAGTGCGACAAGCGTTCCGAGCAACGTCAGGCTCAAATCCACGCTCAGCAAAAAGTTTCGCTTCGAATCGAGCTTGAGCATCACGATGCTCTCCGTGTTGAGGATGTTGTTGGCCATGAGCGCCACCCGCGTTTGTGTGCCGTAAATTTCCTACGTACACGTTGGTTTCGTCGACCGATGTCCCGCACCTGCAGATACACTTCCAGGAACGATTCAGCATCTTCCGTGTCAAAGCTAAACAGGTTGTGGACCAACTCGGGCTCGTTGTAGAGCTATCCAAACGCCCCACGTCAGCACCTCGCCAGGATGACGCTCGCAACCTTGGTCAAGTACATCATGTGCAGATCCTCTTCGTTTTCGAGAAATGCCATGAGCAATCGCCGCATGCCGCCGACGCGAGATTCCAACGAGCTCATTTCGTTCTTGATTGACCGAAGGTTCTCCAACTCGCTCATCATCGAGTCGTCCTTGGTCACTTTGTCCAGCGCGGCCCGGCCTTTGGGCACAATGCGGTCGCATTCGGTGGAAAACAACCGGCAGATCGTCGCCAGAATCGCCTCCACCGCGCTGCAGGTCGCAAAAACGGATGTCAACGATGAAACATGTCGAATTCAACGCACGCAAATTCAAACGCGATCGCGTCCGCAATGTGCTGCTGCATGTTGGTCCTTAAATGATACACCAAACTGTCTGCGCCGTCTGGAAGGAAGACAAGGCACGTCTCGCGCGTAATCACGGCGCGGACGGGGTCTGGATAAACGGGCGGCGCGAATAAGACATCGAAAACGACGCGTGTGACAACATCTAGACGGACCGCAGTTGACGAGGATCGCTTGCTGACGGACCGTGATGGACGGCTCGTTGGACGTGGAAAAGATGTTGTCCATTTTGCGGATGTCGCGCATGTGCACAGCCTGCGAAATGCATGACAGAAGTCCGCATGGCCGCAAACCTACGGGAATGTCGATGGGGCCGTCTCGACCAAGACGCGTGCGCGAGCGATTGTAGGGTCGCCCTGAATCCATCCGACTGCGACGAATCGTGTTGTCCTGTGCATACGGTGCTCGGCGTTGAAGACGCACGGTCGAGGGAGGTGGGGGTGTACGTACCGGGATAGCCATGCTCTTGACACAAGATTGAATCATTGTGAGAACATCGTGTCGCGACAAGTCGATAAAGTCCGAGTTACCCGTCGTGTCGAAGCGAAGCGCCTACCACCACGTGAGTCCACTCGCGTCCCGAAGAATGGCTGTGGTACCAAACGCTTGCCCCCCGCCGCGTTCATGCCGAGGATTTCGCCGTCCTTGCTCACAAGCATGTCGTTATGCATGAGGCTCTCAACAAGTGTCGTCCCGCCGCCGAATCCGCCGTGTGCCATTTCGCATGAGCAATCCCAAGTGTGTTCATGTGTCACGACCACGGATGCGTTTTATCGATTGGGTAGAATTACAATAAGCACGTTCAATACGTTTTTTGCTCGAAAAAGAAAAAAAATTCGTGCACAGTGAGGCGGAGTGGCCCGAGCACACCTGCGACAGCCTCTGTTACAAAGGATCGCCACGTCATTCCTTGTATAATGTGCTGCGTCGCCATGTCAGTCGTGTGGGATTTCTTAACTACCAGTGCAAGCATGAATGCCATGTTTCCTGTATTGCCCAGGTCTCGGTTGCGGACGTCGTTCGCATCGAACGTCTAGAAAGCGGCCATACCACGGCGACCACGCAAAGTGCACACATGTAGACATAACGCTGTGGGAGCACCTTCACGAACCAGAACTCGCTGGCGTCCCCTCCCTGCACCACCCATTGTGCCACCAGGCATCGGTCACGCAATTGATGTTGTGATGCCGTTGTGTTTAAAAACGTTTAACGCGTTGACCGGTCATACGTTAAAGTAAGTTGCAACTTGTCAACTTGCCAGTTCTGCATCGATGCGACCAACGGCGCGACGGCCACTACGATGAATGGACTGCTGCATGAACACCTCTTGGGACCTGAGATAATCGTTGACGATGGAGATTCCACCACTGCGTCGGTGGGTGGAACCAAGGCGGCGAGTCCCGGTGGACGGAACCTAGCTTGGCAATTCGACATGCACGGACAGTGGCATCGCGTGTACACCACGCGCGAGGCCGTTCTTCGCGAGGTCCAGGGCGCTGCAAGTTCATCTGGCAACGGCACGTCATTTCCGGTAGGTACTATTGATGTCGTTGACTCCATGCGTCAGCAAGCGTTGCCTAGAGCGTCCAAATGCGCGATATTCGCCAGTTGGACAGCGCGTACTCAATCTCGGACCGACCTACCATCCTAGTACGTCGCCAAGCCATCCTCATGAACATTGGTTCGTTCGAATGCGTTGGAATCATTCGATATTGATGATCGTGACTAGATCCGATTCGCGCCGTGATCATGCGCCATCGCTGCATCGTGTTTCCCGGGCTTCAGTCCGACGTGTCGAAGCTTCTCGAAGCTACGTTTCTCGCGCACTTGGTGGAATCCCCGGACACCCCATTTGAATTCACGTACGTTTGCCCGTCGTGCGCCCGAGTTCAACCGACCCGTAGGGCCCTGGAAGCTGTGTTGTCGACGATTACGACGTGGCATGCCACCCAAGTGGCGCAGGGCCAGCTCGAAGCAAACGTGGTGCTGAATACCCTGGACAGCGCTGACCGCCCTCGCGACGAATTCGAGCGCCTTCGGGTCGTTCAGCGCCGGTTCGACGAGCTCAAGACTCGAGTTCAAGGGATCCACTCGCTCCTCGCGACCTTTCTCGACAACGACGACGACCTCCATCACCTGTACTTGACAAAGGTTCGTTGCAATCGCTCAAGTTGAGTGTGCGCCACGCTGTTTTTTTCGAAGCGCTTTAGCGGCGATTGCCGCAAACGCCCCGCTGCATCCTGCGGAGAGACACAACACACGCGTCGACCATAACGCCCTTCCCATGCGCCGTGCATCGTTTTCATGGCTCCAATTGGTTTTCTGGAAGCCCCCTGAACAATCCTGTTGGCTTGTAGCTTCACAACGACCCGATGCTGTACGACGACTGGCGCAGATTCGACGCGGACGAAGCGACGTCGTTGGTCGAAGTGTATGCCCAGCGAACGTTCACGACCCTGTCGGCGATCGTGCTCCAGCTCACGAAAGCCAACAACACGGAAAGCTCGCTCCACTTGAAGTGGACGTCCAAGCGAAATCAGCTTCTCTTGGTGGACGTTCCGCTGAAGCTGCTGTTTGTCGGCATGTGGATCGCGTCGTTTTGGACGGCTGCGGCGGCGATGAACGTCGAGTCGCCGTGGTCGAACCTCGACGACGGGGGGCTGTTCTTTTGGTGTGTCTTCGGCGGGCTCGCGCTTGTCGGGTGCGGCGTGTTTGTCGCGGCGGTGGTGTACTTGAGACAGCGAGGCATTCGCGTGACTTTTTCGGCTCCCATGGAAGTGCCGTCCGTGGCACCAACCCTTGCGTCGATGCTGCCAACCCCCGGCTCTGGCGACGTGGATGTAGACTCTGGGCGACCCGCGCTTTATTTTGACGCGACAGGGACGTTTTCAACTCAAGTCGTCAGTCGAAGCGAGATTTTCACGCGGATACAACGAGCAGCAGCGGTACTTTTTTCCATGGCATTTTGTCGATCGCATCGCTCACGACTGGTCGCAGGACGTGCCTGACGTGAACGATGCACCAGCTTCGGACCATCCTGTCGATATTCCGGTACGCGATGGTCGACTCAGTGATGCCAAGGCCATAAGTCGTGGCTGTGCCTCCAGCCAGTCCACATGCGGGACATTCGAATGCTCGAGACGGCCCTCGCTGTCTCGAACGAACCGGCCGTATCCGTGCGACAGCAAGCCATTCTCATCAATTGCGGTTTGCATCCACGCCTCCGCCAGCGTCCTC